CGTGAAATCTTGTTCTACCTCAGGAACACAAAAGAGTGTAATAACACACTTCCGTTCTACCTCGCCTGTAGAGTCTGCAATAACAGCCCCGCCCTCGCCTGCCTCCCGGTCGCAGGGAGATGCTGTGTGCGACGTGTGTGAAAGAGAGTGTGTATCAATCTTTTGTCGTTTTTAATACTGCAGTCTTATCGGCAGAAATGACAAAGCTCAAATGAGCCGGCGCGGCAATTACCACAGTGCGAGTGTGTGTGTGTGTGTGTGTGTGTGTGTGTGTGTTGGGTGGGGGCCAGAGGGAGTTGGAGGTGCTGGGACCATTTACAGCTTGCTTATGGGAAACCCTGCTGTTCTCCTCATCGCTCCTTTCTCTTCGTCTGTGTCCTTCACTACACCCCAAACACACACTCACATTTACACACAAACACACACACACACTAGGACACCTGCAATTAGGCAGTGAAGTGGCACACAAATACTCACCTAATGCTTACTACAATGTCAGGTAGATATCCCTCATCCCTCATGGCTCTGGAAGCACTTGCAACCACTAACAGATTGTTATTGGCGAGAGTTGTACTCTGCATAACCAGTTTGGATGGACAAATCCCTTCTATGCCACAACTAGTCAATAGATAAAATTGCTGAAACACATTTTCGCTGCTTACACACACCAACAGCTCTATCATGCGTACACACACTCGTATAGATCCCTCGTCCTCTAAAGAGGCCGAGGGACACGGCGAGGAAAGCCTGCGAAGGCCACGACACGCCGAGGGATGTGGAGGTGTCAAAGATGGCAGTGTCAAACAGTGCCCACTCACCACCCCAAACCTTTCGTCATCCTCAATATCTGTTTGTGTGTGTGTGTGTGTGTGTGTGTAGAGCTGTGTAGTGTGTACAGTGTGTGTCCGTAGGCGGCTGTCACCTCTAAACAGTAAAGTTTCCAAATTACGCGGCCAGGCGATGACAGTTCAGCCGGAGCCACCGGGCGGGTTAGAGACGGCGGCCTCCCTCCATCTAACGACCCCCACACCCTCCCTCCCCCTCTGTATCCCTCTCCCTCACTCAGCTAGGTGTTGTGACTGCCTGTGACAGGAGTCGCCGGCTTCTCGCTGTTTATTGCATGTGGTTTTCTTGCTACAACATGTCAGCGTTGTGCATTTCCCCCCAGCGTGTTAAGTGAGAAATGCTGACATTCAGCTGTTTGTGTGGATGTAAAACAACAGCTTTGTTATTATATGTGCATATATGTTTATGTGCATATGTTTTTCAAATATTTACATTTACAAAATATGAATACTAATGGAAAATTACTTCAAAAAACAAGTGCATGAATGTGTGTAATCCCTTAAATCATTTGGTACATGATAATAGCTACTGTGGTGGTGACAACGATGAGAAAAGATCTATATTTGTAAGTATCACCCTGCTGCAAAATATTTTTCAACTTATATGGTAAGATATTACCATAAGATATTACCATTTCATCTCAACTGCTTTTTCCCCCCATTGAAGGCCAAGTTGTTGTTTAGGGTTCGGTTGAATGCTACCTGGTGTGTGTTATCACAATAAAATCTCCTTTTCTGTTTTAGCCACATAGCCTTGAACTTTCACGTATGTTGATTGTGTTTTGAGATTTAACCTTTGTGGTCATTGTAATTCAAAGATGAGCCATCTTGAACTGGACCTCAGATGTGTCATTTCACATTGGACGGGCAATCCTTCTCCGGTTGATGGGATTCAGTTTAATTTAACAGCCTGCAACTCCTCATCGATAGTTTGTCCCGCCGCACAAAGAGATGAAATGGGCAACGAGCGTACGGAAGATCATCACAAACTGACCTCACACAAGAAGAGATGAAAATGGATTTCAACAATCTAGAGAAATGGTACAGGAGGCGCGGTCGGTGAATTTTAAAGTGCTCGATGACCTCCAAGTTGATTCTCAATTAGGCGTCCTGGTAGCTCAGGAGACTAAAGGACACAAGGTGGATCTGAGACTCAGCGGCACATATTTGAATCCGCTTCAAAACCGCCGTCATGTGTCACAGCCTCCACCTTTGCGTTTGATCTTCTCTGTCTGCCTTATGTTGTGTGTCTGTCTAATGAAGCATTACCACATAATGAGTAAGTCTGTTCACATATGGATCGCCGGATTTAGGCTCAAAAAAGGATTTACCTCTTCATCCTATGATCAAACAACAGCAGCTTTATTAGCCAGGACATTCACAGGACACGGAACAGCCATATTAACAGTGTCCAGAGTATAGATTTAAATGCTTGTCAAACGTAATGTAATTTCCAGTGTTTTGAATATGCCGGGAGAATTCTCCAGAGAGCTCGTAAGATGGAAGCGTCGCAGTTTTCTTTGCATGCACTGACACCATTGTCATTAAAGGCTGAAGCTTGATGAAACTATAGGTCGTTATTGTCACTAGCGATGCAAGTTACTAGATTTATTAGCTCTATATTCGTTCAATAAAAGAATTTAAAGGTAATGTAAATGCATTGGCTGTAGTGTGGCTGAATGTTACAATACTAAAACTATAATGTATTACTTTTAGTGTCTTTCAGAGAAATGAACGGCGTAATGATCTTATTTTCAGATGGACATTGGTGCATTTCTGACAGTTTTATCAAAAGTTATAGATAGATTTTATTGTGTCAAGATCCATTACGCTTGACAAATGTGAAGTAAATCATCAATTCAATTAAAAATGAAAATCATCTAATCACTAAAGTTGCCGTCAAGAGACTGAAGCAGCTACTAGCAATACGGGCATCTCTTTAGGAAAGTGTGTTTGTATACGCTTCAGAGGCGAATGAAAACATTACTCTATTATTAACTCAAAAGGAAATCATTTCAAATCACAAAACGCCTTCTTCCCCAGCACTGGCTTCCTGCGCACAAAACCTGATTTAGGTTTTAAACGAAGCTTGTGAGGGTAATAAATGTGGCAGTGGGGAGACGGCTCCGCAGTTGACCTCGCTGACACAGCATGCGAGGTGGCAGGGCCGATTCTAAAAGTGTGCTCCTTGGTTTTGGAGAAGGGCAGCCTGAGTGCACAGGATGCCATGTGTCCAACAAGGACCAGGGGCCGCAAGGAGGAGGAAGTGTCTCCTTTGAGGCACTTTGCAACATTACTGGCAATGCAATATTTGCCAGATGGCCTTTGATGTGCAGGGAAGCAATGCAATGCACGTCATGCTGCTCCTTGTCCAGGACTGGACACTCTATCATATTACCCTTCTGCAGCTTCAAGATAAAACTCTGTCTGAGAACCAAACTCTTTTATATATTTCCTTTATATCCGTTCCAACAGGAGTAACGTGTTGGTAAACTACCTTATCTTATTTAATCCTAGAGCTGTGGCAAATTTATAAAGAATTGCAATGCTCTATATTTGTTCCAGTTTTTGTCAGCTTACAAATATCAACCATCGATTTGGAAATAAAATAAGATAAAACATAATAAAAGATTGCATCGCTTTTAACTTTGATCCATGGCCTCAAGTATAACCTGTGTCAAATAGTACATGTCGAGGTACTACCTTTTAACATTTATTGAAGAACATTTATTTTGAACCTTGTTCCACTCTTCTCTCCTCTACTACATCTTCCACCTTTGGACCCAACACACAATTGAGGAAAATGCCAGTTTTGATAACCAGGGAGCGCCGGAACAACAGATGTCCTCGAGCTTTTTGTCTTTCTGCTACACATCTTCACCAGGCCCTGTGAGCCAACGCTTTCATTTTATCCTTCCCTTTAATCCACATCTCCTCCCATTGCAACGCTTCAAGACAGCTGGGTGTCTGTTTGTGGTCCATTTATAGTTGTGCCGGGGTAATTAAGAGCTTTCAGTAAAATGATAGCTTTGTCGGGCTTCTCAGATGTTACCTAGCAAGCCAGCCTAGAAAGGTGTTGGTGTAACGCATTTATCATCGTCATCTGGGGCTAATTACCAGCCTATAAATCACTGGTCTGACCCGGACCAGCTACAGCTGAAAGAAACTAGGCTCTGCTAATCCTTCCCCAATGGTTTCTCTTGTTTAATGTCTTTTTTCCCCCCATTAGCAACATTCATTTTCTTTGTTATCAACAATTTGAGAATTATCATGATTTTGTTAGCAATGAGCTGATAATCAAATGATATGTTTTCATTATAGGATCCCTTTATTCTCCACTTTATTATACCTCGAGCTCATTTAAAGCTGAAGGAGATAACATTTTCTGCAGCATGCAGGGCTTAAAGTGTCCTCGCCCTGACTTTTTACAATGATAGGAAGGTTAAGTTATCACTGCGTTGCCGCCTTTCAAGCATCCTCCATTTCCACTTACTTACCAGATCCAGCAATCCCCGGCCAGTCTATAAAATCCCACAGCTTACTTTTCTTTAATTAAATGCCACTCGTAATGCTCCCTGTGCACCCCGTATGTCTGCGGCCGCAGCTGATGCTTTAAAAAGCAAAGAGCCACCTTTAATGCGGTGCGCCGTGTGCAGCTCAGCTGCACCAAGGGGCCAGAGCAACCAGGCATCCATCTTAACAAGGTCACACCGTTTGATTTTTAATATAACCGTCAGTGCTCAGGCCCGCCGTCCTGCTTTGAAATATTAGCGCTCATTAATGATGTGGAAGCCGGCCCCGCCTCTCCCCTCCTCGCAAAACCCCATCAGCAATCATTCTGGACATGAGGGTGTGCAGACGCACATCTGTGCTTAGACCGGCTCCCCCTCACTGCCCAGGGCTGCCCAAATGCCTGCTTTATGGGTCAGTTTTATGGCATCCATTATGCACACTTAACAACCACTGTAATTCTCTCAGATGGGTTGGGGAAGTGAGGCGATTAGCTGTTAGGTCTAAACGTGGGTTGCCTTAGACTTTGACCTTTTGTTTTTGGCCGTTGAAGATGTTGTCTCTGCCTCATGCCGAGAAATGTATCATCTGCAGTGTGGTCTGTGTTTTATTGTGTTTTTCTCTTTTTAATTTGTGTCTGATCAGGAGGCTGAGATGAAGTGTCATCTTTCAGAAGATGATGCAAGGAATTGGGCCCGGAAAGATCTTATTGTTGTACGTATACATTTTTCCATTTTCTGAAAGGCTAGTTTAAGGGTTATTATTATTATTTTATATTGTGAATGTATTTAATTTTGCTTCGGCACAAGAGCTGTGAAAGTGAAAGTTACTGGAAGTTGTTTTCACGTCAAATTGCTGGATCCCAGAGCTGTAAAAACGAGGCATAAAGAGTCAGGGTCAAAAACAGCTCACTCCTACACAAACATCTTATTAATCAGCAGCTTTTGTAGCACGGTTGAACTTTTCTGTTCTTCTTGTTTTCTGCTGCCCACTCACTTAATGCTCCGCAGAAAAAAAGGGGGTGTACTTTAACAGCAGTGCTTTATAATATTCTACTACAAATGAACTTTATTGTTCTAATTCAGTGCTTCGAGTCCTTTCTTCCGAGAAAGCACTGAATCATGACCAACAACTCTGCTCAGTCTACTTGACGACGTGTTTTTGTGACTCCATCTCGATTGCTTTACTGCCCGACTGCAGAATATTCCATTTGAAGCAGCGCTTACGCAAGCAGTACACTCGTAACAAATTACACCAGCACCTCCTCTCAACGTGACTTATCCCACTGGGTCGATGGAGATGCAAGGCATTCCATACGTTATTGTGCTGTGTGCCCTTGGAGCCGACGGCGTGTTTACACAAGCCATATTCCTTTCTGCCTCTTCCTTGGCTCAGTTCCCTGAGCGAGATTTCCAGGTCACAGTCTGACCAAACTGCAAAAACACACTTTTTTCCGAGCCGCCCCATTTGAATGCACAATGTAACGGCCGCTGTGGTAGAACTTCTCAGTTGTAAATCTGAGGCCGGTGACCTCATAAAGCGCGCTTGACCTCCACGATGAGGAGGCTGAATGGGCCCCGCACCATTAAGTTCACAGATGCCATCAGTGTTCGATTTCAATGCTCCAACTGTTTGTAGTCAGGACCAGTGTCTCTCGGAAAAGTCACTAAATGGATGATCGACACTACTGAGGAAAAGTGATTTATTAGCTGAGCTCACGTTTTAGTATAATGACATTGTGTGCGTGTTTGCATGCATGAGTTTGCACCTCACTGTTTGTACGAAGCTGTTTGTAGTCCCACATTCCTAAAGAATATTTTGGGTGGCCAGTTATGGTTGCAGGCTCAAGGACTTCTCTTTGTTGAGGTTACCCCCATTTTCTAAATACACCTTTTATTGCAGTTTTTTTAGTTTGACTGAAGGTTTTACTAAGTGCACCTTTTTATTGGACATTTGAACAATAATTCCTTAGATTCAACCCCACTCACCCAGGAGATGTAAAAACCACAGGCAGTGCAGGTGAGAATGAAAAATGGGGTTAGCAAATGGAGGCAAATAACTAGCCAACAATTTGTATCAATAATGATTTTAATGGATACTCATAACACACTATCCGTCTCATGGGATGATTCCACCGTGCAGCGTGGAGTGCAGTAAATGTAAAGACGTGCACAACGGCCCGTGGACACTTTTTCATCACTAACAATCTGTTAGCATGTTAAAAGACAACTCAAGTAAAATATCTCTTATTAATCTCTTGGGTTGCACACACTAACTGTAAACAAGCCCTAGAAAGTCCTTTCCAGTGAAGGTGGGGGTCTCTGAAGTTAGGGTGGTCAAGGCTCGACAATCAGGGCTAAAAGCAGCACACAGTCGGCCCTGGCGGGGTTTTTTTCCAAGGGCCCCACTTAAGGTCTCTTTTGTGGCTCCAGATGTTTTGTGTAGCTATTGATTTAGCTGGGAAGCAGGCCTACAAAAAGCAGCAGGCATAATGATGGAGAGGCAGAACCACAGTGTCATTGTTGCCGGGCTTTACAAAAGATAGCTGCATGCTTAATGTGATTTAGAGATGGGTTTCAAAGCCGGGGACTTTAATGCCTTTGAGAGGGAGGTTACCAAATTGAAATGCAAATCTTAACATTTTGGAATTCATTAGGGTTGACGCAGCACCTCAGAACAGCAACAACAGATGAGCGTTGTTGAGGAGGGTTGGGGGAGTTCTCCAGTCTTTCAAATTCCATCAAAGTCCAAGCCTCTGACTTTGTTGTTTCGCTGCTTCGTGGTCAAATTCTTCTGGTTAAGGTTGATGTGAAGTCTGCCGTCATTGCCAATCTGCAAATAGCTGCAAAATTCCCACATGTAAAAGGTGTATGGCGCCCTGCTACACTCACTCTGCAACATGTTATAACATCTGTCAAGTAGTCGAGCAACGCACACGCCTTTCTAGGTATGTTATGTATGTAATACATTATGTATTATAATGATAATATGACCCATCATAATTATATAAATGATGTCTGCTGCAAACTTTGCTTCTGTGTTACACTCCTAACTAGAACACCAAGTTGCAGTAAAGCTAGAAGGAACTTTAGCTTTTGAGGAATTTAAAAGCTAAGGAATCTGATAGGGAATTGGAGATGAACGTTGTTATAAAAAGCTTTTATGCTTCCTCTTTCTTTGACAGTTTGAATCACTCGGTTATTCTGACATTCCCAGAAACAAGCCTTTGCACGTCCGACACACACACATACATACACACACATCTTTTACCAACGTATGGCACGTCCCGATCTGTATCTCCGACACACACTACCCCCAGAGAATTGATTAAAATCAGAGAGACAGGCCTTGAACATAGCTGCTTTTGTCTGAACAAACAAAGGCTGCTTCTAATTGGATTCACATTGAGAGAGGTATTTAAAGCAGTCGGGTAACTAACACCAGCTGATGGCTGATTTTACAGGGCATTTCGTGACCCAGTCACGCTTATTGGTCAAGCCCTGCTCCAGCAGAGCACAGGTATGTCAAGCAGCTCCTTTTAATCTTCAGGGAATATCACTATCAGAAATCTATCCGTCAAAATTGATTCAGAAGTCTCAGATTCCTGCTTTAGGTGCACTTAAATGCACCACCACCAATTTGGCAGCTGTACAATTTTGGCTAAAGTTCAAAAATCTTGATGTTTGATTAAATGCAACTTTAAGAAAAGAAGGCCTTGCACGTGGCTGACGTGACCTATGGGAGGGTAATCCAAGCAGCCCAAATAGCACAAGTTACAGATAATTAAACCAGCGAAAGGCTGATTAGAGGCAGCGAGACAGGAAATCAATGCAACATAGCCAGACGAAGCGTGTCTGATTGTTTACGTACCTGGGACACACACACACACACACACACACACACACACACACACACTGAGAGGGAGAGATTTTGTATCTGGATTGGAGTCAAACAATATAAAGATGAACGCCAAATGGCTGCAGTCAGAGGCCGCTGCCTCGCTGCCCATCGCTCACCCAGACACAGACACTCCATTAACTTGGCTCTGAACCTGGATTAGATCCTACCGCAAACCTGATTGTCTGCCCGCCTCGCCCCCGTCCCGTTGACACTGGCTTTCCCGGGCCGAAGAGGCAGCCCGGCTTAATGGCTGGTGCTGAGCCACAGCCCGGCCCGCTGGGTCCCGCAGGATCAGCCCAAGAGAGACAAAAGTAGACTACGGGGTAGATGACTGCACGGAGCCCTGAGAGATCTCTGTGTGTTGCACAGTCGTTCTGGCATATGAATAAAACTTCAACTGTTGCTTCACTCTGGGATTTTTGGCGATGAAACAATGACTAGTTACACATACGACACCTGCCAATTTAGTGGTGAACAAGACGACCGCAAGTGAATCTAAATGTAAATCTGAGCGTGTAGTGATAAGTTCTAGCGGGGTTTTACTGCTCCTATGCTAGACAGAAACACAACATGATAAATATTTATGCTTCTAATTATTCTATTTGCATTATTAATTCCCCCAAAATAGCTGAGCAGAAGATCTCATTAGGGTAGGAAATTTGTCAAAGCTAATAACGCTCTAGTTGAAAAAGCATATTTAGATCTCATCCACGTTTCCATAAGTTCATAAACTGCGCTGTGAATGCGTACATTAGAATGAGTATTTCCTCAACTGAGTTGACTGGAGAAATTAAATATTAGCTTGAATATAATTACCATTTATTAGCAAACTCTGCCATTGCAGATAATGAAAGTCTTAATGAAATGTTTTGTTGAATTTCTTTCAGAGGAAGATGGGAGGTGGGGGGGCTTGTTAGCTCTTTAGTCATCATGCCTGAAACCCAAATATATGTATAGATTTTTTTTTTTTTATTGACTGAGACAGCTGCTGTAATTTTAACATGGGACCACGGGCCCCATTGACTGAGGAAGCGGTTCAGTCTGCTCCAAAGCCTCCCGTGAGCGTAATAGGCTCCTCAGTCTGGCAGAGCTATTACCAAATTCAACACAGACCATTAGGCCGCGTGGGCTTAATTGCACATTAATTGGATAATTAGTCCTGCACTTTGTTTTCTCCCATTTCCCCCAAATCTTCTCCCTCATTGTGGCAAGTACACGGCCATTCTCTAGATTTCCCTTTTTTTTCATTATGTTTTTCAGCACAGTGAGGAAATACAGTAGGTGGTGCAGTCATCCTGTAGCTGGAGATCAGCAGTAGGGGGGTGGGGGGGTTTCTCCATGTGGGTGTGAGGCCAAGGCTGAGAGGATTGATGGAGCCTTAGGTTGTCCTCCTCCCTTGCTGTCATGTTGACCCACAATACATGCTGTTTGTGTCTCTGCCAGCAAAGAAACCAGACGAGAGGGGTGCATAGTTAAATAGGAGCAACTCTCTAGTGCGCTAGTTGCATTATTTATAAACTTTTTAAAGAGATTTTATTCATCCCATCTCCGTATATTTCTCCCCGCCGTTACTGTCGGTGCTTTAGACATGTGCCTCAACTCTCTGGGATTGCCACCATTAAACCTAGGGAGCCATCTGATAGAGTAATCAAAGTAAATGTTTGGCACATTTGATAGCGTTTGAAATATCTTCGTGTTACAAAGCTCTCCGGGGAGAAAGAGGGACAGGTTTCTCATGCAAATAGCCGGTTTTCTGATATGCCAGTGTCAAAAAATCCACATTTATCTCAGCGCTGTCAAGGAACACACAGAGC